TACCAGGGAGCATGGTATTGGTGTGAAAGGCCTGACCATGCTGCTTGTTGGAAAAATTTGGACATTAAAATACAGAGTGAGGTGTTGGGGTGAAAAACTGAGAGATGAAGGAATAGGACAAGCCACATCCAACCTCACCTCACCAACTCCTCTGTCAATCCTGTTTCCTCAGGCTGAAGGCATTTGAGTCATCACCCAAAAGGGTCTTAGCTAAACTGCTGCTTGTAGATGTAACCAACCGTCTTATTAAATAAGAAACACAGAACCAATGCAAAGAAGAAAGCCAAGAGATCAAAGCTAAGAGCCTTACCGCCTGCTGCAGCTAGCTTCTCAAGCCAAGAGACCTCTCCAAAAAAGGACCTACTTCCTGTGTGTTTGTCTTTATATAGTGTTTCTGTTCTGCCTTCTCATGGTTGTAAACCCAAACACATGACTGCCTCCTCACTGCCTGTTTGTACAGCCCTCCAGATCTTCTATGGTATTGAGATTAAAGGCATGTGTCTTCAATGCTGGCTGTATCCTTGAGAGATCTATACATGTATCTATCCATACAGAGATCTATCTATCTCTTCTACCAAGTGCTGGGATTAAAAGGGTGTGCCATGAATGCCCAGCTCTGCTATGGCTTGTTATTAGCTCTGACCCCCAAGCAACTTTATTTATTAACATACAAATAAAATCACATTTCAGTACAAATAAAATACCACCATAGCTGCTAAAAAGCCCCAAAGCTTAAAAGCCTCTAGTTCCCATTACTCACAGCTTATATACCGTTCTGCTTCCTGCCATCACTTCCTGGGATTAAAGGCATGTATCTTTCTCAAGCAAGACATGAGATCTCAAGTGCTGGGATTAAAGGCATATGCCACCATGCCTGGCTGTTTCCAGTGTGGCATTGAACTCAGAGATCTGGATGGATCTCTGCCTCTGGAATGCTAGGATTAAAAGTGTCTGCTACCACTGCCTAACCTCTATGTTTAATATAGTGACTCTTCTGTCTTCTAACCCCTGATAAGTTTACCAGGGCATACTAGTAGGTGTGTGAAAAACTGGTGCTGAGAGCAATACAAATTGTTATGGCCTAGCTCAGGAGGTTTCAGAAGAGAAGAAAATTACTAAGTCACCTAGAAATAGTACTCATGACATTTTGGTGAAGAATGTAGCTGTTTCTTTTGTTGTTGTCCAATAACTCTGCTCAAGACAAAATTAAAGAGTTTGGATTAATGATGTTGGCAGAAGAGATTTCAAGGCAGCCTAGTATTGATTTGATCATATTCTTATTAGTCATCACACCTATGCAGGTACATAATGAATAGGAGCAACCTGAGAAAGGAATATACAAAATGTACAATTTGAGGAGAAAAGTATCACCAGGAAGTCTAACAGAGTTGAGTGTTGTATTCAAGGAGAAAAAATGTTTCAGAGAAATACCCCACCCAGCTATGCTTTCAACTTGTGAAAAATAATTGAATAAATACTTAAGTAATGAAGGAAAACATCAAAAGCAAAAATCTGTTGAAAATATAGTTGAAGGAGAGTCCCAAGTTCCAGCTCAAGAAAGCAGCAGAACTTGTCGTCTTAGGTTATACACTTTGGGTTTCAGAGTCAAGGATACAAGAAAGGGGTTGTGGAATCTCCCTTCATAGATGGAGAAAGCTATGGAGGCCAGACACCTTTCAGGGGTGTCACTGCATGGCAGCCTTGAGCTGTGAAGGTGAAACCTGGACTTATTTAGAGATCCCAACATGAAGGAAATGCCAGAGTTCTGGGATATCTGCCAAGGAAAGCTGCTAGCAGGGAACAGAAATAGCTGAAATAAGTTGCAGATTTGTGTAGCTCTTTAATATCAGGCATGGGACAGCAGAGTTTGGAATATGTACTGCTGATTTTTGGTCTTGTTTTTCTCCAGTATTTCCTTACAATGCTCTCTTTCCTTCCTAATGTGATTAAATTGCCATCAATCCATGGAATCAGCTTGATGATCAAAGGAATTTATTTGAGGGTTAACACACAAGAACAGAGATAAAGGATTGTATCAGGATCCTGAAAGGGTGAGGCAAGTTTCAAGCTGTTCTCTGGCAAGCTCTGCCCTGCTCTGTCTCAGCATCCAAAATCCACAAGGTAGAGAGTTCATGTGTACATCCAAGGTCTTAAGGGTCCCTGGAGGCCACGCTCCAGGAGCAGGTACCTAGCAGCTACCTGTTGCCTCACTAGGGGTGGTGCTTCATGACATGGCACAAACAACCTTTTGGAATGGTGGTATATATATATATATATATATATATATATATATATATATATATATATATATAGTGTCATTGTATGCTGAAAAATATGTGATCTGCTTTTTTGGTTTTGATTTTTCATGGGGTTATAGTTAAGATATAGTCATGAGTGTCAGAAGAGACTTTGAACATTGAACTTGTAAACAGTGTTGAAACTATTATAGATTATGGAGAATTTTGAAGTTAGACAAAACCCATTTTGCTTTATGATATAGCTACAAACCTATGGGTCTGAGGAAGTGGAATGTGGTGGTTTGGGTGAAAAATGAATGGCCCCATCAGATCATAGGGAGTGGCACTATTTGAATGGATTAGGAGCTGTAGCCTTATTGGATTAGATATGGCTTTGTTGGGAGAAGTATATCATTGGGTTGTAGGCTTAGAGTTTTCAAAATCCTAAACCAGGTCCAGTGGCTCTTCCTTCCTGCTACCAAATGATCTGCATATAGGACTCTCAACTTCTTCTCCAGAACTATGACTGACAGTACTACCATGCTCCTTGCCATTATAACAGTGGATTAAACCTCTGAAACTGCAAGCAAACCACTATTAAATGATTTACTTATAAGAGTTGCCATGGTCATGGTGTCTCTTCACAGACATTGAACACAGACTAAGAACCATACATTCAGTGAATGAATACATAAAAAAAAAAATGGGGAGGTCCCACGGAGATCCAAGAAAGAAGGGACAAGCTGATGGACACCCGAAGTAAGGCTGGCCAGCATTTTAAAGGAAAGAGAAGGTAAGGGTGAATTGTCATGGGTAGAGTAGGGCACTGCTGGTAAGAACAAGACAGCTAAATGTTATACCAGATCAAAGGGAAAGGAAGAAAATAAAAAAGGAAATCTTCCCAGTAGAGGATAGGGAAGGAAAGGAAATTTCCCGTTAGAAAAGGGAGAAATTTTTAATCAAGAAAAAAGGATTTTCCTGGGAAAAAGGGGAAAAATTTTGAAACTAGGCCTAAAGATTTTGGGGCCCTGTAGAGGAAGGGTGAAGGAAAGAGAAAAGCTTCTTCCTAGTGGTAATGGAGGAAGAAAGGGCTCTTTCCAATATAGAAGTTTCAGGATAGCTGAAACTCTGAGCTCTTTCTGCCTGCCAGCATGCAAGGACAGCATCTGAATTACAAAGAGTTGGCGGTTGGGCCTCACTGCTGCTGGCTGAACAAGCAAGCAAGCCCAGAGGTTAGAAGTTTTGTTGTCTGTTTGCTTAACTTTGGTTTAAATGTTTTTTATTTTCCCCTCAGAGTGGGAATAATTCAATATTTAGGATCCCTTCATGGGAAATGTTTTTCTGTTTTTTTTTTTTCCTTATGGTGGGAATAAATCATTATTAGGAAGTTTAAACGGGAGTGTGTGTACAAGGGCCTGCACAGTGGACAAAGGCCATGCCCTGGCATGCGAGATAGCCCAGAGTGGCAGGTGGGCAGGCAGGTACGCACTGGTGGGAGGCATAGCTGCGAGGCAGATGAGGGGAACAGACTTGCAGAGCAGAGGCCGGAAGAAGGTCAGGTGCTAAAAGTTTAAACAGACCCAACTTCTGGTGAAAAATGGTTTTGGTCAGGACATGGAATGCTAAGTCAATGCTGTTTGAATTTCTAGGGATATTAATCATTCATTGTATAAAGGATGTTCTGTTCTTTTGATTGTCTAATTTTCATGGTAGATAAACTAAAGAAAAAGGATGCATAATTTTAAACTATATATTAGGTATGCTCTTGTCTGTTGATCAATACTGTGGGAGTTAATCCCCAAGGACTTTTTACTTAATCATGTGTAGCAAATGGACATCACTCACATGCCTTCCTTTGGAAAACTACAATACATCCATGTATCTATTGATATATATTCCTCTCTAATTTTTGCCGCTGCCCATTCAGGTGAAAAGGTTAAAGATGTAAGGAATCATTGTCTTCATACTTTTGTTTATATGGAAGTGCCAAAATGCATAAAGACTGGTAATAATCCCACCTACAGCAGTACGGGATTTTCAAAATTCTGCCAAGATATTTCTATCATTAATAAGACTGGTATTCCATATAATCCTCAAGGACAGACTATAGTAGAATGCTGCCATCGTACCTTAAAAACATATTTTGCTAAAGTAAAAAGGGGGGAGCTAGGGGCTCATCTCTCCTCTCCACATTCTATTCTTTCCCTGTTTTATATATTTTAGATGTTTTAATTAGTGGATTCTGCTGGAGTGTCTGCTGCAGATAAGCACTGGAGGGCTCCTGTTGTAAATCATCCTCTGGTGTGATGGAAGGATCTTTCTACTGGCACTTGGAGGGGACCAAATCCAGTGTTGGTGTGGGCCTGGGTTTCTGTTTGTGTCTTTCCTCAGGACAATGAGGTTCCTCTTTGGGTTTCTGAATGCTGTGTGTGCCCTGTGGCTGCTGCCTAATCCCAACATGGCAGAGACCTATTGGGCCTTTGTGAAAAACTCTCCCCTTCTGATACCAGTGGGGATTGAGAGCCCAATATGGCCAATCTTGGCAAGCATTAATGTAAGCCTAGGAACTGTAACCATGTGGTTGGATTCTCTAGAAGATAATATATGGTAACTGCCTTTTCAAGTATGTTTTAGAATGTGTCACCCAGACACCTTGGAGATTAAGGTTAGCCCTGAAGGTCACTGACCTTCATTTGTTAACAGTAGCATGCCAGCTAAGACTTTTCATTTTCACAACCCTCTTCAAGCTGGTGCAGTACCTACCTTTTCAGGGGTGGCTCTGTGCAACATTTATTGGCCTCCTGAAATCCATCTAGCCTCCTTTGAAGGTACCTTAACATTTGTAAGCCTGAATATAGCCATTATGAGACCATTAGTTCTGCTCCTTGTGTTCTGTCTGTTTTTTTTCTTTGTGGTTCTTGCTTGTTCTTTTGTAGAGCTGCCAGGTTAAGTCATGCTAGAATAAAGAAAAATTGGCCTTGGTGGTTTGTGTTCCTGGAGTTGTGTTCATGCCAGTGGACTATGGCAGTAACACACAGATGGTGCTCACATGCTCCATAAGAGAATTTGACTTCACTGCAGCTGTTCTTGCTACTACAGTGGTAGCAGTCACTGTTGCTACTGTTTCTGGGATTGCCATTTCATAATTGGTTACTACAGCTAGCACAGTGGAGACCCTGGCAGCAAAAGTAGCTAATTAACAGTTAATTAATCTTTCATTGGCTTTGAAAGTTATAAATTTGTAAACTCAAGTTCCATTTGCTTTTGGAATACCATCTTATGAGGACTCCAATTTTCAGTAAGGCCCATTAAGGAGGGGAATGGCTCAATTGCATTTAGCCTACTGGCTATGGGTGGACTAGGACTTCTGTTGGTCTTTTCTGTGTCGAACACACAGAATGCAAGCCCAGTGCCACTTTGAGATCTTTGGCAGCAGTTAATTCTGCAGCTCACACACCACGGTTTAGCCTGCATGATAATGAGTATTCAGAGAAAGGTAATAGCTGGGGGGCACTCACCAACCTAAGACAGAGTGCCTGTGTGGCCTGGGCAGGAGTCTCCATGACGGGTAAGCTGACCTGCTGACATCTCACACAACCTAAGTCAGAAGCTCATTTTTTAGTAAAAGGGGAGACCTGTAGGGCCCTGGCCCCCATTTTTGGGTAGCTGTTGCCTTGCTTGCTGACCTTGACTCTGATGTCCTCCCTATGCTAATCCCCTGCCGGTTTCCACCCTCCTGAATGCTTACAGGAGGTTCCTTGTTTGTGTATCCTGCATATTGGGCGTTAACAGCTTAGATACAAGAATGTAGAACATCGGTAGGGAACTTCTGCCCTCCAGGGTTCTCCCATTGTTCTGTAAGCCTGTATTTAATTTCCTCCCTTCTTCAATAAATGGCATTCAGCATTCTGCTGAGGCAAATGACCCACTGACTCTTGTCTCTGTTTTTTGATCCACAGCCCCTCACTCTGACATGGTGAATGGGTGGTGGTAACATGGGCGTTACCACTACAAAAATGTTGTAATGTTATTCAGCTGTTAAAAGAAATGCAATTATGACATTCAGGGGTAAATGAATAGATCTAGAAGCAAACATGGTGAGAAAGATGACACATCCAGAAGGACGTAATGGGGCACCTTTTCTTCAATATGGGGATAGTTTTAGATACCAAGGGAGGTCATGAGCTTAGTAAGGGGCCATGGTCTGTGGTGCAGGCTTTCAAAGGACAGAACAGTAATGCAATAATACAAAGGGAAATAGACTACTATGAGACAACAATAACAAATATGTTATTGCATTGTGGGAATGGGGTGAAAGAGAGAATACAAAGACTTTCATTTAAAAAAAAGACATCCAATATAAACTCACTGTTACAGTCTTTCATTACTCTGAGTATTGGGGCATGCCTAGTAGATTGTGGGTACATGCCTGTGGGAAGCAAGCACTTTGCTTTTGCATTTTAAAAATGGCTTGTATAAATCCTGTGATCCCATGTGCATGTCCTGAAGTTAAAGCATTCATAATATTATAGTCACACAGTAACTGGCCTGAAAATAGATGTGTGATTTTTGTAAAATGATTTGGGCAGAAAGATGTTTTGGCTATACTTAAAATGGTCTTTTCAGTATATGAGTTCCAATTATCTGAAGGCTGATTTGGAAATGATAAAAATACAGAATTTCTATCATGTACAGTTCCTTGTCCTCTATCATAGATTCAACAGATGTCCTAAAATATTCTGTTAGTCTGTCAAATGGCAGATATTCTTTCTAGAATTTTTAATATTAATCTGGCTTCCATCTTCCATTTGTTAAAGAACATGTGTAGGAATTCTGGTTATTTCAGTAGGCACAAAATCTTAAGGTAATCTTTTTTTATTGTTGGCCTCTCTCTTATATGGTTGAATAATTTCCAGGGTCAGATCTTTGTTCTTATTTCATATGAGCCTACCCAGAGCTTTCACTGGCAGAAACTTCAAAAGATGGATCTTGGATGAATATGACAGTGACTGCCATCAAACTGCAGCCAAAATGAAGCCAGATCATGCTGCCTTCCTAGAGGGTAATCGCCTCTTGGCATAACAGAGCATAGTGCCAGTGACTGTACAGGCTATGTCCTATGAAACTCTCTATGCCAGTTTCAACTGAGATCCTCATGCGTTATAGAACATGAGATTTTGTAATTCATATAGAATACAATGGATTCAAAGCAATATGAAAAACATCTTTATACTTAATGTTTCTGATAATTCTGATGAATAATTTTTCTAATATAATATACTACATAGAAAATGATATTTTTATATAAATATATTTAATTTTATTTTATGAGTATAAAAAATTTACCTGTATGAATCTATCTATGTATCTCCTGCTCTCCTAGTGTCCACAGAGGCTAGAAATAGCATCAGATCCCCTTTGGAATGGAGTTGTAGCTATTTGTGACCCATATTGATGCTGATGCCTCAATCTGGGATTTCTCAAAGATCAACTAGCTCTCTTAATAGTAGAGACAACTCTCTAGTTAAAAAATTATTGACTAAAAATTATATACTGAAATATTTAAAGTTTATAAAAATATTTTTACAACATTTCTAAAAGTAATAAAACTGATACATCTGTAATGCTTTTTGAAAGTTAAATTAAAAAAATAAACAGAACTGGGATTAATGAATGAACTACACATTTATTAGAATAATTTTCTCAATAACACATATCTTTTGAATATAATTATATATATTTTTGATGTGATGAGAACTTGTCATATTTCCAGACACTGTGCTGGGAAACACAACACCACTAATCTTTGAAATGTTCAGGATTCATGCAACTTTTATGGCTTATTTTAAACTAGGCAGGATTGCTTCACAGGTACAATGTCATACTATAGCAATAGTATTAAAAATACTTAAGTCACCTAACAGTTTCCTGGAATAAACATTGCTTGATTCCATCATGACAACGTATGCAGATATTTAAATAAGCGTCTATCAGGAGAAGTGATCTCTTCCAATATAAATTCATTAAATTGTGGAAGGCACGGGGGCTTTTGTGCTCACAGATAAGCACTAGGGGAACAAGGAATGTTAAAAAAAAAAAAAAGAAAAAACAGGGTTGTCTTTTCAAAGGGAGGGATATATAACCTGTTGTCTGCCAAAAAGCTGGGAGTGGACTTGATTAATAGATAAAACTGGTAGTATTTATATTATCTGTGTAGCACAGACCACACCAGACCTGCCCCAAACCTTTTGACCCTTCTCATGAACTTGCCAATTTATAGAACCAATCATAATGGACGATGTCACAGGTCGTCAATCTATAGAACCCATTTTTACTGAAGATCTCAAATATGCTTTGAGTGTCAATGTAGTCATGTCTTAGGCTTCACTGGGCACACAGGATTCAGTTATTTATTACCAGAAAAAATTTCAACAAATTGTTCTCTGCTTCAACATACAGTACTCAGGGTCAGACTCTCAATGTCTGAACCAAGACCAGCTTCTTGCCTCCTGCAGATAGTTACTCTACTGAAAAAAAGTGGTGGCAGAGACCTCTAGACTGAACATTTATCATTGAACACACATGTACTGACCATGATAATGATGATGAAATTTCACTAGCATTTGACCTGGAAACAATAAGTGCTTAGTTATGACAAGGAATGAAAGAGTGCAACAGTTTGCAGCAAATTAAAATTAGAAACAAATTTAACTTTTTTTTTCACCTAGTAACAAGACCTAGTTATGCTACATTGATACAGCTTTTGCCTAGACTGCACAAAGATCTGGGTTCAGTTTCACACAAGAAAAAAAATGCAACAAAGAAAAATTCTAGTAACATAAAGTATCTTCAAATTCCAATATTCATGCTGGACAATGGAAAGAACAGTGCTCAGACAACATGTATGTAGAATAAGGAGAGAACTGACTCCCATAAATTGATTCTGATTTCCAGACATGGTATAAACACACACACACACACACACACACACACACACACACATTCATTCACACATGTACAGACAAGCACACAGGAATCACACACATGTGCACATGCAAAAGGCACACACAAACTTACATATAAGCACACACATGTACAAACTCAAACATACCCATAAACAGCACATGTCCATGCATAGTCACACATACACACAAACACACATATACACATACACACAAACACATATGGAAAGACACCAAAATTATTTGGGGTATTAGCCATCTATCAGGTGTGTAGTTAGTTCCATCCTGAAGGCTGCTGCTTTGTTCAAATGAATGTACCCTTTGCACGCTGAAGCTTTTCAGTCCCATGAAGTTCAATTTATTAATTGTTTAACTTAGTGCCTCTGTTATTGATATTCTGTTCAGAATATCTTTTCCTGTGCCTATGAGTTCAAAACTATTCTTTACTTTCTCTAGTTCCAGGTCCTCACACCTTATATACCTTTCTGCTTCCTGCCATCACTTCAAGAGGAAAATAGGCAGAGAAAATGTGGTAGATTTACACAATGGATGATTTTCAAACCATATAAAGACACAATAAAGAAAGAGAACCATTCCCATACAAACATAGATAAAAACAAAACAACAACAAAACTCCCCCAAATACCTGCAAAGTGAATCCATGGACACAGCAAAATCATCATCCACCATGATCAAGTAGACTGCATCTCAGAGATACAGGGATGGTTCAAAATACAAAAATCAATAAATTTAGTCCACCATATAAACATCCTGAATGAAAAAACAAAACAAAAACAAGCAAACAAACAAAAACAAGACAATACACATGATCAACCCATTAGATGTAGTAAGGCCTTTGGCAAAAATCCCAAAGCCCTTCGTGATAACACTCTGGAGACATTAAGTATACAAGAGACATACCTCAACATAATAAGGCAGTTTACAGCAAGAAAATAGCTAACATCAACTTAAATGAAGAGAAAATCAAAGCAATTTCACTAAAATCAGGAATAAGACAAGGCTGTCCACTCTTTCCATACCTATTCAATATTGTGTGTGAAGTCTTAGTAAGAGCAAGAAAACAACTGAAGGATTCAAGGGCATCCACATTGGAAAATAAGATGTCAAATTATTTTTATTTGCAGATGATCTATTAGTACACCCAAGAGACCCTAAAAATTCCACTGGGGAACTCCTGAAGCAGACAAACACTTTCAGCAAAGTAGATGGATACCAAATTTGCTCACAACGATCAGTAGCCCTCTTATACACAAATTACAAACTAACACAAATTACAAACACATTTCATTATAGGCTAAATAATATGTTACCTCGTGGTAATTCTAACCAAACAAGTGAAAGTCTTATATGATATAAACTTCAAGTCTTTGGGAAACAAATTGAAGAAGATATCAGATGAGAAGATTTCCCACGCTCATGGATCAGTACAATTAACATAATAAAAAGGCCATTCTACTAAAAGCAGTCTACAGATTCAATGAAATCCCCATCAAAATGCCAACACAATTCTTCACAGATCTTCAAAGGATCATTATCAGCTCCATATGGAAACCTGCACACACATACTCACACAAACAGGATAGCTAAAACAGTTTCAACTAAAACAGCTAAAACTGCTGGAGGCACCACTATTCCTGATTTCAGGTTGTACTACAAAGCTATAGGGAGACACAGGTAAAATGAGTGGCCATTTGAGGGATAGTGTGGAACTCTAATACATTAGAAGCTTCCTAAATAATATACATATAAAAACAATCTAAGTGAAATGACCAAATTATGGAGCAGATAGAGCCTCACTTGTTCT